CCACCTCAGTGCACTGGTTCCGCAAGGGGCTGCGGCTCCATGACAACCCGGCGCTGCTGGCGGCCGTGCGCGGGGCGCATTGCGTGCGTTGCGTTTACATCCTCGACCCTTGGTTCGCGGCCTCCTCCTCAGTCGGGATCAACCGATGGAGGTGAAGGGGTCTGGGGTGGGGTCGCGGGCTCGGGGAACACAGTCTGGCCTCTGGGGTGCCCGCTGTCAGAGGAGGGACTCTGCCCCGAGTCCCTCTGCCGGAAGACCCCGGTCTGAGGGAGGTGGGGCAGGGGGACGGAGCCAGGTCTCCGGAGAGGAGAAGCCGGGACGAGGGAAGCAGTTAGTCCCGTTCCTGGATGGCACAGGGCGCGTTCGCACTGCGCATTATTCTCTTTGGTTCTCATGGCATTCCTGTGGGACAGAGATCCTGATCCCCATTGCACAGATGAGACTCTTGAGCCCTAAAGACATAAAGTTGACCTGCCCAAGGACTTGGAGCCAGTGAGTGGCAGAACGGAGACTCCTGGTCTTGGGCCCTCGGCGGTGTACTCAGGGAGGGGAAGACAACAGCTATTGTGTGAAGTCAGGAACAGGTTTCTGAATTGATAGCGCAGCGTATGCCTGTATTCTTCAGGCATTGCTGGGCTCCTGAAGGTCATCTTTAAGCCTCTGGTGTGTTTCAGTCTATCTCTTTACCTATCCTGGTTTCCCTCCAAGACCATCCTGTCTCTGGAGGTATCTAGAGACTCTAGCTTAGCATTATATAAGGCAAGTGCCATCTCCCCTTTATTACAGATAAAGACCCCAACGGCATGTTCAGTTAGAGGCACTTTGTGTCCAGAGAGCAGAGAGCGGTACTTAACCCAATTTGGAGGATTCCCTCAGCAGTTACGGGGTTTGCTAGGAAAAAAAGCAAACAAAGTGTCCCTTCTTTCCTCCTCTTCTCAGAGATTGATTTTAAAGGACAGTTGAGCCATGATAGATTAGACTTTTATCAGCTGATGTGCTAAGATTAGGGAGCAGGAAAGCTATGATGATAGCAAGGGCCCCTCTTTGATGACTCCCAGGAGATTAAGTCGACAGGATCATGGGAAAAGATTGATGGTGTGTAGTGTGTGGTGTCTGTAGTTGATGTTTTCTCTGTAATCAGTGTTTAAAACCAAGGAGTCCTGAGACATTGTGTACCCATCTCTAACATGCCCCGCAGCAGTCCTTTGGCTTGTTTGCACTGTTCTGGAGGATGTTTGCTTGTGGCCTTGTTCCACTGAGGGGCAGGATTATTCCCACGGCATGCTGGCTGTCCACCGTTCTTTCCTCTCCCAGGTGTGTGCCCTGCTAGGAAAGTGAATGCTCCTAGCAGTGGGTCTATTAAATGCCCACCTCCTGCCCCATTTATATAGAGGGAGTGACTAAAGATAGTCCTGTGGAGAGCCTGCCCACACAGTTTTCAGGCTGCTCTATTGCTCTGCCTTTGCTCCAGTTTCTATAGATAGGAGGTTGGGTTTGACAAATAACCTCAAACCACCGACTATCCCTAAGATGGACCAAGTTTGAGACTTTGCCCCTCTGCCAATGGCAGTGTGCCAATCAGAGCAGAGTAAATAGAATCCAGACTACTTGCTTGTTACATTGCCAGGAAGGAGTTTCTTCTTCTATTGGGTTTTGGGGGACATTGCGTAGGACTCCCTGCTCCTTTGTGGCAATGGAGATTAAAAATCAACAACAAAACCTCTGTTGCTAATTAAACTCAGTTGCACTAGAAACTAGGTTTATGGATTCTTGTCACCCTCTTGTGATTGTGCTTTTGAGCAAGTGAAAGAAAAGGGATGTGGCAGCTCAGATGTCTGCGTCAAATCCTGAAGTCAGAGGCCATGTAGGAATGCAAGTGTTAATTGAGCAATTATTTAATGAGCGCCTAATATCTGCCAAGCACTGCTGTAGGTGCTGCTAGCGACACAGCAGTGAACAAGCAGATGCAGTGTTGAGAGCTCCTGGAGCCTACATTTTCATAGAAGAAGACAAGTCAACAACCATAATTTAGTAGAACTAGGTGCCATGAAGTAAATAAAATAGGGAGACAGAATCAAGCCGTGTTTCTCAACCTTACTGCACATGGGAATCACCTAAGGATCTTTAAGAGATGCCTGGGCCCCCTTCTCTCCCAATTCTGATTTCATTGTTCTGGGTTATGGCCTGGGCATTAGGGTCTTTAAAGCTGCCATGTGCAGCAAAGCCAGAGAAGCACTGGACTTGAGAACCCCAGACCTGAGCCCGACAACTTGGGATATGTGTTGCAGTGCATTGGTGGGAGGTTTGATTTGTTTTGGCAACAGAAGAAAGAGGTGAAATAACACAGAACAAATCGAATACGATAACTGCTGCTGGGCCTGAACACAGACGCACTCCTACCGCCTACCCGCCGCCACGCTCCTTGCTCCCAGGATCAGAGTGAGATCAGAACTGCAGACTGTTTCATGCTTTTGCGGTTTGGGAGGAGTGATGGAGCCAGCCGTACCTCTGCATAACTCCAATATGTGTAATCTTCCAGTGGCTGTTTCTGGGTCTGGAAGTCATCTGGGAGAATTGTGCTGTAGCATAACATCATAGCTCTGCAAATACTTCTGTTGCTGCCTCTGAGAAGCCTCCCTAGGAAGAGTGGGCCCTGGGCCATCTTCAGGAGATGGGGGAAATCAAAATCTGTATCTCCGTTATCCTCCTTCACTTTCTACACTCACTCCTACACAGCATTTTTCAGCAGATGAATCAGATTAAAATAACCATGAATGGCACTTTCTAAGAGCAAAAGTGGACAGAGGAAGGCAACCAAGAACATGCATATTATTAGCATAGGAGGAGGGCTAGCAGACTCCTTGCCTTGGTAGTAGTGGGAAGTTTATAGGCTAATTGTAGCAATATGAGCCTCAGGATTTTTTTTGTCAAGCACTAGTTAGCTAAGCCCTTTGCCATTGCCCGCAGACCCACTTTCCTCAAATTTACTGCATCTGGAAGGAAATATTGCAGTGAGAACCAAACACTCACCCAAAAAAAGGGGAGGGGGTGGAATGTGAGCTGCTTCTAGATTTTAAAATGGGTACTCAAAATAGATCCTTGCGGTTTTTCCTTACCTTTCTCTCCCTACTGCAACCTAGGTAAGTGTTGGCAACAATTCCCCTCACTCTGAGTCATTTTCTCTGTGGCTCTTTGCTGCATGTGTGTTCAGGAGCTTTTGGGACAGAGGGAGTTGATAGAAATAAAATCTCAGCACACATTGCTCAGAATTAAAAATGAGGTGACCTGGGAACACCCCCACCCCCACCCCCATCCCAAATACCTGGTGAGAGGTGTGTCCCTCTTCCCAGTGCTGTTAGCTCAACGTTGTTGGACTGTCCACGTTGGGTGTGTCCTCCCTGGAACCTGGTCAGCAAGAGGGGAATTGAGAACTGTGGTCTACTGGCAAGGACATTTGAGTTTCTCGGAACTGTTTATACTGGTACCCAAGGGAGTCACTTTACTCTTCTGCTGCTGAGGAGATGTTTCCATTTGCCCAAATGGGATAAAAACTTTCACCTTCATCTTTCTCTTTGAAATTAGGAAAGAATAGATATATTTTTATTCGAGTGATCTTAGATATCAGTCTCTGCTATGGATTGTGGGTTTGGGGTATACTTTTCCATGGGGCTCTCTTAATTACTTAGGAGAAATTAATTTCTATTAATATCCTATGTAGCCAGTCTGGGCCAGCCAATGATGTCATCATTACAGTTAAATGACCTTGGCTTGAAGCAGAGAAACTTGGTCAAGGACAGTCTAGACCCAAAAAAAGTGTTCACTGTCCTCCCTCCTCCTATTAATAACAAATAAACAAAACATTCCTCAACATTTCTGCCATTTCTAGAGAAGTCCTTCCCTAAAGATCTGCCTGTCTTATTTTAAAGGGCTAGCTCCATGGAGTCCCTGAATTACTGAGTCCTTTCAGTATTTTTGGAAATTTCCGATTTGGTTTCCTCCAGTTGTCTGCTGCTGGTTCCAGAGCACTGACGTAATGCAGCTCAGCTATGCATGTTGTTTAATCCAAAGGGTGAGCTTAAACTGTTCACACATGACCATGTGCTCTGAATTTCAGCCATGTGAGCTCAGTTTAGGGCTGCCAAAGGTGAGCTGCCTGCCCAGACACTGCCACCTCCAATGCCCAGGCCCGTTGTCTTCAGAGGCTCCACTCATGGGAGTAAAGAGAAACTGGCCACGTGGAGAGGAGGGCTCTAGGGGAGAACAAAGGCCCAAGGTTCTCTCTGGTGGAAGGATGTGCCCACTGGCCCCAGTGGGTGTTTGCCCAGTAGCAGCCCTGCTCCCTGTTCCTTTGGTGTTACACAGAGCATCCTTTGGCTGGCCTCACAGGTGGTGCCCTAGCAGTAGCTGCCCATTCTCTGCCTGGAGGCTTGGGCTCCTGGGGGAGGTCATCGTGAGGCCTCCCTTCCTGGAGGAGCCCTGGAGGGCTTGACTCTGGAGGGAAGTTGGAAGTAACAGCACTTCTAGAGAGCCAAAGAGAAGGCAGAAACCAGGATCTCAAAGAAAGGATGTTTAGTAGAAACAAACTAGAAGCAAAGAAAGGCAACTTGGAAACAGAAGCTTGAGGTAAAGTTCAGTTTTCTGGGACAGTGCTTCTGAAACTTCGATGTGCAAAGGAATCACCAGGGGATCTTACTAAAATGCAGATTCTGATTCTGGAGGTCTGGGAGGAGCCTGAGATTCTGTATTTCAGCAAGCTTCTGAATGATTCACAGCTGTTGATCCCCCAGAGGAGCAGAGATTTGGGACAGAGGTGCTGGCCTTTGAATTGGGCTGTAGTGCTCCCTGATGGTGGAGTCCCCAGCAGCACAGCTTCAGTACTGGGGGGCAGGGGGTGGGGGGAGTCCTGGTCGAGAGGCAGGAGAGCCTGCTGGTTAAGAATGCAAATTCCAAACCACACTGCCCTGGTTTGAATTCTGGCCGCTTGTTAGGTGTATGATTTTGGACAAATAACTTAATCTCTCTGTGCCTGTTTCCTCATCTGTAAAATGGGAATAATGGTAGTATCTACTTCATAGGACTGTTTGAGAATTAAATGAGGTGATGTATGTAAAATAAGTAGAACTGTGCCTGGTTCATTGTAAATGCTCATTAGGCGTGAGTTGTTGCTATTATTATCATTTTTGTCACTTGGTTGCTAAGTTCACAGTCGTGCCTTTTGCTCCCTGCCTTGACATCTCTTGTCAAAGAAGAAAAGGGCTCTCGTGGAGTTATCTGTACCTCAGAGATGCTGCAGGGAATCTCTCCTTTTAATAAATGAGATCTCAAAATAAAGTCTGCAGGAGGCAGCTGGAACCTAGCTTTCACATGCATGCCAGTCTCATTTGTCACTTCAAATCAAAGTCCTCTGCAGCCTGGTGGACTATGGATGATGAGGCCCCTAGAGAGCTTGGCAGGGACATTCCTGGGAGCCCCAGATGGAGGACCCTCTGCCCTGGGGTTGTGGAATTTAAGTCCCCAGGTGTCTCTAGGCCAGCTACCTGGCAGGACTCAGGTTTCAGGTGCCATGGAGGCTGTTTTCATGGGTCTCTCTTATGTTCCTCCAGAGAGGAGGGTGAGGCCTGGGAGGAGGCCAACACAAGTACGTCACTCTGTCTCAGCTTTCCTCTTCTGAGGGTGTCAGTGTTTCAAAAACAGAAATTCGCAGAGGTGGAGCTTGGGGTTTACATAAAGCAGCATTCAGCCTGTCAGTCTCCCATCATAACCCCTTGGAGAGTCTCTGCATGCTCGCTAGCTAGCACGACACCCAAGGCTGAGCCCAGGACTCAGCTCATGCTGGAATGTGGGTCTGTGGCATTCGCTGCCTAGGAGTGTCATGCTATAGACGTCAGAGGCAGCAGCGGGGGCCGGTTCTAGTTGGCAGCCTGGGAGCAGTCGCTGCTTCTGTACGCTTCCCATAGTCAGGAACGTGATGTGCTGCAGAGGAGCTGCCAGGTTTTATTGCACTCAAAATAAAACCTGGTGATTCCTGTTGTTAACGGGGCTGGGTGGGAGGCCACAGGGTAGATAGCAGGAGGTATCTGTGAACCAGGCTGACCTGTCAGGGCTTGGTTCCTGAGGAAGAAGATCAGAGCATCAGTGGATTACCTGGACTCAGGTTTATGTTTGTCAGGGAGAGGGATTCCAAACACGTGAGGTCCTGCATGCATCTCATCCCCTGAAGCAGTGTTTGATGTTCCGCTAAAAGGCAGAAGAAAGGGAGCGCAGAGAAGAGAACATGGTTCAGAGCCTGACCGACCTAGGTTCCTTTGCCAGCTTTGTCACCCAATAACTATGATCTTAGGCAAATTAATTATCCTTTCTGTGTCTCATTTTCCTCATTATAAAACGAAGCTACTATTTCTCTTCAAAATGTGTTGAGAGAACTGAGAATGCACTTTAAAAGCATAACAGGTATATAATAACATTGGTAACATTGGTTGCCTCTGGGGAGGGGAATCAAATTCCTGGAGGACGCAGGAGGAGGAGACCTTTTACTGTGTACCCTTTTGTAACTTGAATTTTGAACCACATGAATAGTTAATCTGTTTAAAATGTTAATTATACTTGATTTAAAGATAAAACATATCATAAAATGTATTGATGGAATTTCTCAGAAAGGTAATTATGCCTAACTGAACAGGTGGTAAATTTTTGTGGTCCTATAAAGTAAATAAATAAAACACTGAGGGCTCTCAGGAAATGTTAATTTCCTGTCCCTTTCCCATGGTGATCCAGCTCTCAGGCTAGGTCTTTTGAGTATCTGAAGCCCTCCTGTCTCAACTCCTACCCCCAAAAGCATGGGAGGATATCCTACAGAGAAGTACCTTCGTTGGCATTCTCCTTCTTGGGATGAGGACCTGGTGGCCAGAGCCCTGGGGAGTTCTGGAGAATAAGCTACCCGCCAAATAAATCCCTGGGAACTGGGGCCCAAGCCCACGCTATGGGGCTGTGGCAATAGACGTCCGTGTAGCCCGAAGCATGAGTGTGGAAAGACAGGGAGTCTGTTGGACCAGGGTAGGTGAGATTTTCCACAGCTGTTGCAGTCCTGTTCCTCTAATAGGACCTCAGGCTTCCATACCAAGTATTGCACTTGTTTTTCAGATGGCTTTCCCATCTGTTCTCCCTTTTGACTCTCACAGCCACCTAGTGATGGGTGGATATTTATACCCAGGGCCTGAGGCTGAGATGGAATAAATGACTTGCTTCTGATCACAGAGAAACAACAAGAGTAGGAGCAGCTCACACTTATCCCAGGTTTTCTATATGCCAGGCTCTGTACTAAATGTTCTTCATTGTTTGCCTTTCTTTTCTTAACGATTCTATGGGGTAGGTACTAACATCAACTTCATATCACAAATTAGGGGGGTAAAAAGCTAAAGAGGTTAAGTAACTGCCTAAAGTCATGCAGCTAGTAAATGGCAAAGGCAGGATTTCAGTGGAGGCAGCCCTCATCCCCTGCCATATCACACCTGGACTAGAACCCAGTAGAACGATGCTGCTTGTCTGGCATAGACAACGTACCAGCTTCTCCCTGCTTTGTTAGGAAAGAGAGTGACTCTGTTATGTTGACCACCAACAAGGCCTGTGTGGGTTCTGCAGGTTCCTGCTTCAGTCTCTGGAAGATCTGGACACGAGTTTAAGGAAACTGAACTCCCGCCTGTTTGTAGTCCGGGGACAGCCGGCTGATGTGTTCCCAAGGCTGTTCAAGGTAAGTGTACAGAGTCGAAGAGAAGACAGAGAGTCTGCTCCTTGGGTTTCCCCGCAGACTGAGACAGTGTTCTGACTGAGGAAGTGGGAATAGTCGGGGCTAGTCTGACCACTGCTGCTTGGGAAGTTGGGAGCGAATGTAGCCGGTCAGCTGCCAACAGAATGGAAACTGTGTTAAGGAAAAATTCTGTGAAAGCAAGGAAATTTTCTTGTTGGAAAGTTCCCAGCTTAGTCCAGACATGGATGTGGCAAGTTATTCCACCCCAGATGCCACTGGCTTCCTTGGATGTTTTCTTGACTCACGCCGGCAAGATTTATTAGGAGGCCAGGAGTTGAGGGTGAGGTTTCCGGTTTAGCAAGGGGCGTTTCCTGTCTTGCTTTGCTCTGCCTGTTGGAAAAAAAAAGTCAGCCTCTCTGAGGGAACTTCCCTGCTTCCTCCAGAGTAAATGATTGATAAACTCTTCATTTGGGTACCACGTAGGCCTCTGTGCTGTATCAGGTAGCCAGCCCACTTTCCCCAGCCCCTTTACAAAGCACATCTTTTAAGGCCCAGACAGAAGCAGAAGTGCTCACAGAGAGAGGCTATAGGACAGTCTCGCCTCATCCTCAGCAGAGCACAATTGTTTTATGCCCTCTCCACCCTACAGCTTCCTTCCCTACTCTTCCTGGGGGGAAAGATTAATGTCAAGGCAAGTAGCTTAGTAAACTCTTCATCGTTCACTTCACGTCCCCATCCCCATCCCCCCCACAGGCAAACACACACACCCAAACCACACAATGTTGATAATAGCCAGCACTCATTGAGGGCTGCCTGTGAGTCAAGCACTGTTCTAGATAAGTGCTTTACGTACATTAATTCTCATACTCACAGCAGCCCTAACAGGTAGGTGCTGCTGTCTGTATTCTGCAGATGAGAAAGCAATGCTTGTCCGTGGTCATGAAGCTGAGCAGTGGTGGTCTAAGATTTGAGTCTAGGCTCTGACTCCAGAGTTGTGTTCTCAACCAACATACTGTTAAACGCTTTCGCCTTTCCTCCCTCTGTATTGTCCCCCCTCTCCCAGCACCTCATAGTCCAACCCAGTAATACCCCAGAGATACAGAGAGATCATTCATTCATTCATTTATTCATTTACTGCATATTTATTGAGTTTCTACTATGTACTAGGCCCCATACGAGGTCCTAGGGTAATGAAGACTGAAACAGCATGGTTTTTGCTCTGAGAGTTCACACTCTAATAGAGGAAACAGGCAAGTAATGGGCAACTTTATTGCCATGTGATAAATGTTGTGATGGAAAACGGGCAAGGTGTTGGAGAATCATATTGAACGAGGTCAAGGAAGGCTTCTTGGAGAAGGTTGCAACTAATAATAACATTTTTATTATTCACAGAATTACAAGTATTTAACAGTGTAATCTATATGAATCTCTAAGCATGGTGCTTGGCTCATAGTAAGCTCAGTAAATGTTTAATGCTGTTATTCTTGGACGAGGGATACCCAGCCCTGCTCTCAGGACCCACACCCAACAGCAAGGCTGGGTCACAGGACCAGACTGGCCTGTGCATGCCCAGGACATTAGCCCCAGGGGGTTAAGAGTTTTAGAGGAACGTGACCAAAGACTTTGGTTGGAATGTGGTTTCCTTTTTGCTAGTTGCATGTTCTCAGGCTTTCTGTCGGTTATATATACAATCTTTCATTGGACCAGCTTTCTCAGAGCCTTGCCAGGAAATTTAGAAATTTCTACCAGAAATGACTAAAGATTTGGAAAAGAATTCCCTTCCTTTTAAACATGTGGCTCCTGTGGTCTGATTTCTCTGACCTCTGGGCTAAGGGCTGCTCCTCCTTCCCCGACTCTCTGAGAGCTGGAGCCTGTTGGCCTCAGGATTGTTGCTGTGGAAACTATTAGGACACTTCACATAGCTCAAGTCTGCCAAGAAAACTAGGCCATAAGTTTGCAGGGCCTGAAGAGCTCTGGGAAAGATTTGCCGAGCAGGCGGGAGGCGATGATCTTGTCCCCTGCTGTCTCCACCAGTGACTCAGTGCCTCTTTCAGGGACTGTGGGCTCCCCTGGGAGCACTGTATTTATAGCCTCCTGCTGCATTTTCCTAGCTCAAGGACACAGCAGGTACACAGAGCTGCCCCTCTCTGTCTGGATTCTACAGAGACCATGAGCCTCAGGCTCCAGTGTTGCAGGCTGTTGGCCTCACCCCAGAGGCCTGCCCTCCTCAAACCTTGTGGACCTCAGATTGTTGGCTTTCCAGTTCAAATCACTGTCTCTGGTTTGTTCTGCAGCCCATTCTGACAGGTCTGCAGACTTGCTGTGTTCCCACCCAGGAAGGAGCTGAGTGCCCAGTTTCTTCCTCCTTCCCAAACAGTGTTGAGCCTAATAATTTCTCCCCCCACAGGAATGGGGGGTGACCCGCTTGACCTTTGAATATGACTCTGAACCCTTTGGGAAAGAACGGGACGCAGCCATCATGAAGATGGCCAAGGAGGCTGGTGTGGAGGTGGTGACCGAGAACTCTCATACTCTCTATGACCTGGACAGGTGAGAGATGGGTCCCAGGGGTCAGGTTGCCAATTGTGGGAGTTGGTGATTTGGGCCCCTGCTGAGTGGAACTCAGGGAGGGTCAGCAATAGGGCCCCCTGACACATGAGGTATGGCATTTTCTAGAAGCTGGAGGAGACTGTAGAGTTGGGGCCTGTAGAACAGGTCAGAGAGCTTACCTGATTTGGGTGCAAAGAGGCTTATTAGGCCCAAGGGACGGAAGCAGTGAGGATCACCACTCAGGGTCTTCATAGATCTGCTTCTAATATGCTCCAGGCCTGTCCACTCCACGTACTCCCATTTCCATCCTGCTGCTCAGAAACTGCCCTCGGACCTCAGTAGACCCTGTCTGTTGCCCCTCCCAAAAGATCTCTGTTCTCATAGGCCCAGTTTCTGTTCCTGAAATGCTTTCCCTGGTCTCCCCCGGCTATCTAGGTTTCCAGGCCATGCATTTAGATGTTGCTCAGGAGGCTCCAGAGATCCCTGCAGAGAGCTGCTAACTACAGAGTAGCCTCCTCCCCTCCAGGAAGTGCCCCTGTGCTTTTCAGAGAGGCTGGAAGGAAACCCTCTCCTCCCCTTCCCTTCCCGAGCTGTCAGCCGCCTGGTGCTGCTGCTGCTGCTGCCAAGCCCTCAGCCAGCAGCCACCGGCCCCCCTTCCCCTGACCCAGTGGTGGCTGCCAGGAGGCCGGGTCACACAGCTCTGCACGTGAGCTGGGCTCTCAGGAGCTGCTGGGTGTGGAGCTCCTCCTCCTGCCACGTGCTGGAGGAGGGGGAGGTACTGTAGGGGCAGCAGCCAACCTTATATCTCCCAAACGGAGGGGAGGAGAGAGAAACTAAGGAATGAGCTTGCCAGGCAAGCCAGCAAGCCCAGTCTTGCATAAGCTGTTTCTTGGCCAACAAGAGCCCTGGGAGTCTGGCTTCAGCCGATCCCAATTCATTCTTATATAAACAACCTCAATTCTCTTCACTCTCCTGTATCTTTTCTTCTTACCTGAAGGCAGCTGTGTTTTCCCTTGCTCATGAAAAAATACTTTGTAAACTGTAAAAACCCCTTTAAGTTCAGTTGTTGCTATTAATCCCAGCCCTAGCCTCTGTTTTAGGGAAGAGAGGCTTTTCTCCACCTCTCTGTTCTGGTAAGTAGGGCCCAAAAAGGGAGTGCTTCTCCAACCAAGGAACATGTTTGCAGCTCTTATCAAAGAACTTCCTCAAGGCTTGTGCTGGGGTAGAGGAAGATCCATGGGGATTCCTGTGGCTTGGACAGACAGGCCAAGTTTCAGGAAGGCCAGTGGGGACTTCTCTGTGATTAGAGAGGTGGCCAGGTGCTGTTTTAGGCAGCTCCACATAGGCACCAGGGAACTGGAATTGAGGCCCAGCTTTGGCCCTGACTTGCTCCATTACCGAAGGCACCTGCTCCAGCCATCTGGGCTTCATCTTCCCTCGTGGTAAAATGAAGATGTAGCCTCCCTTGCCCAGTCCTTTCCGCTCAGGGGTGGGACCCATGAACAGAAGAGGAAAGCCACCCTCCAAGGCTTCAAAGTCTGGGCTATTTTCTGGGCAGACAGGGACCTGAAATGAAGGACCTTGTGAGTAACATTAGGTGTGCTTTGGGATTCCCAGGATCATTGAGCTGAATGGGCAGAAGCCGCCCCTTACCTACAAGCGCTTTCAGGCCATCATCAGCCGCATGGAACTGCCCAAGAAGCCCGTGGGCTCCGTGACCAGCCAGCAGATGGAGAGCTGCAGGGCCGAGATCCAGGAGAATCATGATGAAACCTTTGGCGTGCCCTCCCTGGAGGAGCTGGGTGTGTACTTCCTGCCCTGAGCTGCTCATGCCAGCACCTCCTTTTTTGTAAAATAACTTACTGGGTTTTTTTTCTTTTTTTGGTCAAAGTAATGCATGTTATTATAGACACTTTAGAAAATACAGAGAAATGAAAATGGATAAAACAATCACTATTACTCACCACCCAGAGATAACAACTATTAATGCTGGAGTATGTTCTTCTGATCTTTTTTCTGTTCACATTTATACAGTCTTCTGTTTCTGTTTTATGCCCCTATTTTTGTACCGTTCCCTCTCAGATGATGTCGGCACAGTCTGGTGCTGGCATCAGTGGGTTTCTCAGTACCAGCGTAACTAGCGTTGCTTGTTACTTCCCTTTCCTTCTTCTTCAACCCATTTTTTTTATCTGAACAAGGTTAGCCTTTCTCACCTGAAAAACCACAGCTGTTGCCAGCTAACCTGAAAGGGTGAGCAGTCCAGGATTATTCTCACCTGCCCGGAATGATGTGTGGCTGGGATGGGGGAGGCAAGGATAAGAAGAGAAAAGGTCACAGTGGAAGGGTGACTTAGAAAACGCAGAAACATTAACGATTACCTCAGCACCAGTAGCACCAAGAACACTGCGTTCAGTTCCCACAAAGCTCAAAGAGCAGACCAGCGTGTGTGGACTTACTCAGCCGTCACTGGATTGGCCTGACCTTCGGTCCTCTGACCTGCTGCTCTTCATGTAGGGTTCCCCACTGAAGGACTTGGCCCAGCTGTTTGGCAGGGAGGAGAGACGGAAGCTCTGGCCCGCCTGGATAAGCACCTGGAACGGAAGGTATGGCCCTGTTTCTGAGACACAGAAGTTTGGGTGCTGACACCCATGCAGCCGGGGAGATGGGGTCAGGTTCATGCCCCTCAGGGCCTCTTAGCTCAAACTGTTGAAAAATGAAGTGTCTTCTGTATGGCAACAGCAACTACAGTAATAGCAGCTGCTGTTCGGTGAGTGCTCACCAGGTGCTGGTCACTGGGCTGAGCATCTTTGGGTTAAGCACCTGCTTGCATTACTTCCTTTCATCTTTCCAGCAGCTCTACAAGATAGGTATTAAGCTCTCCATTTGACAGATTAGGAAATTACGGCTTAGGTTAAGTAACTTGTCTGAGGCCACATAGTTACTAAGTAGTAGAGTGAGATCTTGTTCTGTGTGATTCTAAAAACTTAACGCTAGATTGCTTTCCTTTCATCTGTGCGCAGATTCTCTTTACAGATAGGGTATCTGGTCAAGTAAAGCCCATAAGATTAATTGTTTTGTGTTCATGTGTCCCCCGACCTTTTGCTGGTTCTCCTCCAAGGCATTGATTTCCATTTGCTTGCACAGAGAACGAACGGCCCACCTCCCAGTGAAGTGGGAATTGGCAAGGGGAAGGAGAGAGGCTAAGGCCCCAGAGACACTCCTCAACAATGCACGTGCCCCCACCACCCTGGGACTAGAACAGCAGAGAAGGTTCTCACAACTGAGAACAGTCAGCTCCCATTTCTTGCCCCCTGCAGCTGGTTTATAGAACAACTTGTTCTCTTCCTGCTCGGATGGCTGGGCATTTGGCCCAACAGCCAAGTGATAACAGTGGAACAAGGAGGCTGAGACAGGCCTATGTGGAAAGAATGCTTCCCAGCAGGGAAGGCACGCCATGGGCCCAGCCTCCCCGAGACCCAGCAACCTTCATGTCTCCATCTGGGTGTTACCATCAGACAGGGCCAAAAGCAAGCCCCAGTGACTGAAAAGAGCTAGTGTCCAGGGGCTATGGGGAACCAGCTGTCTCTGTCCACATCAGCTTTAGAAATTCTTGTGGTCAGTTTGGAGACAAAGGCTGGGCCAAGAGGGCAGAAGGGTGGAGATGACAAATGGGATGGCAGGGATAGAATGAGACTTAAAAGTAAAGAGCTAACCTGTGGCCTGGGCATTATCATCTCCTTAAAATCCTTTTATAGAGGAATGCCCCTTAGATCACTGCTTCAGGGACTCCTTTTCCGCATACCCCTGGAGGGCCTCTTCGTCAAGGGGCCTTGTATCAGGGCCCTTCAGACTCAGCGGTGGCCAGAGGGAATACTGCATCCTGCACATCTGGGAGAATAAAAGATGCCTGATGGACAGGAGTTTAGCCTGATTTCAGGAGGTTTATTTTAACTTCTTCAGTTCTCCAAATCTGAAGTAGCATCTACTCATGTCAGGATGGTCTAGCTGCTAGAAAGCCTGCCCAACAAGACGGGCGTGAAGTCTGTCTCCAGAAACACATCTGTAGGAGATGACAGACTTGAAGCAAGGAATCACAATGTGCTGAGGATTAGGAAAGGGATGGTTCAGAGGTTATGGGAGCGAAAGAGCAAGAAGATTATGTTAATCAGTTCTTGTTTGCAAGTTGGCTTTTGAAAAAGAGAGTTATTTAACTCACATAACCAAGAGTCCAAGATGTAGCCTTCAAGCACAGCTGGATCCAAATGTCCAAATAATGCTACCAGGAATACACTCTCCATCTCAGTTCTGCCTTTCTCTGTATTATTTCATTCTCAGGCAGGCTTTCCTTGAGCAGTGCAAAGCTGGTCACCAGCAGCTTATTTTCAATCCGCTTAGTACCACCAGAAGAAGTTGTGTGCCTCTGTTCCAAAAGCTTCAGAAAAAGTCCCGAGGAGTGCTTTTACTGGTCTGGCTTGGGTCATGTGACTGTCCCTGACTCAGTCACTATGGCCAGGGAAGGGGGTGCTTTCTCTGGCCAGACTTGCATCTGAGAGTAAGCCCACTCCCAGAGTCAGCAGTGGGCTTAGCTTCACTTTGCCCACTTAAACTGAGATTAGGGAAGGGCTGGGTCACCACAAGAAAATTAGACACTATTACCAAAAAGGGGAGGCAAACAATATGATCTTTACCACTGGGTTACCCTATGGTAGATGAGGGCAAGCATCTCTCTAAAAATAGAAAGTGTCCATGTTATTAAATGAAATTTATTAAAGGAAAAAAGAATGATGGAATCTTGCAACCCCCCGTGATGCCACGTGATGCATTAGTGACTGCTTACACCATGGAGAGTGTCAGATGCTATGTTCCCCCTGTAGTCTTGCCAAAGAGATCAAACCTGAGTCGAGAACAGTCTTTGGTACCAGCCACCAATTTGTAGACCACACACCGGACAGGGGGAAGTGTTGAACTGTACCATAAGTACACAGCAAAATCCAGGCAGTGGGAATTAGTACATGTCAAACTGCCTGAGTGCCTCCACAGAAAAATCTAAAAGGAGGAGAGAGAGATGGCAAGAAATGCGTAGAGTGAAAAAAACTTAAATAACACGTCAAAGTCTTTTAAATGGCCAAGACTAAACTATGGAGCCTCGGAATATAAATTTGGATGAGGAAAAAACCACTTAAAAATGCAAAGGATAATTGAAGAGATAAAGCCCTCCCTTCCAGATGTGCATTGCAAAAACAGAAAAATACAAACATTTTTAAATGCCAGAAAGTGATTATTATAAAAGTTGGACAAGCAGTCATTTATGGGGCAGGCAGGGCACTGTGACTGGTTGGAGCACGTAGATAGGCTTCTTGGTGGCTGGCAAAGTTCTGATTTTTGCACTTTGGCAGTGGTCGCACAGGTGTTTGTGTTAGAATAGTTCATTAAGCCACACATCCGTGTGATTTCTGTACGTGTGCCTCACTTAAAAAGATTTTCAGAGAGGTGGGCAAGAATGTGAGCAGTCAAATATACTTCATGTCTGTTAGAAATAGTTAACCCAACACCCGAGGGATCACCTGCCAAGGAGGTGGCCTTTAGGTTGAGACTTGAAGAAGAGTCAAAATTAACCAAGGAAGGGAGAGTGGAAAGGAAGACATCGTTCCAGGCCAAGGGAGCTCATGTGCAAAGGCTAGTGAGCATGGTACTTCACTAAATAGCAGGAGAAGAAGCTAGAAAGATGGGCCCACACAGACTGTCGGGTTAGCTTGTAAGCTGTGTATAAGATTCGGGACTCTGTCCTAAGAACATCAGGAAGCCCAGTACATGTATTGTCCTCGGATAGGGATTTTAGGAAGGCAGCTGTGCTCACCACTATACCACCAATGCACATGTGGGATAGGATTTTAAAGAATCACTCTGTTCTCAGTGTGGAGAATGGATTGGAGGGGCCCGAGAATTGATGCAGAGAGGTCGTTGGGAGACTGTCACAGTTGTCCATTGTAGACACAGTCTTAGCCTAAATCAAGTTGGTGCCATAAGAAAAGGACAGATTGGAGAAATACTTGGGCAGTAGAATGGACCAGACCTGGTGAGCGGTGAGTCAAAGATGATGGCCAGGCTTTTGGCTTGGGCAACCAGGTAGATGACAGTGCATTTTCTGAGATAGAGAATGCCAACAAAAGGGTGGTTTAAAGACAAGAGCCTGTTACCCTTGAGGTCCCTGAAAGGCAATCAGTAGAGATCTCTGGCAAGAAGTTGGATGGAGTGATCTGGAAGTCTAGGTGAGCAGCCTAGGCTAGAGCTACAGATGTCGTGATCATCTGCAAAGAGATAGTCATGGGAGCCATGGCACTGGATGAGCTCCCGGAGGGAACACAGTTGATTGAGTAGAGGACCTAGGACAGAGCCCTGGGAGGCGAACTCTTAAGGGGTTGGAAGGGGCGGTGGAGCTGGTGAAACATGGAGAGCAGCTAGCCAGGTGAGAGGGAACCGGGAGCTTGTGGCATACAGAGGCCAACGGAATGGTGGATATGGAGATGAGGGGGTGGGAGGTCAGCCGGGTGAGATGCCGCTGGGAGGTCCAAAAATACAGGGAAAGAAAATGCCTGTAGGATTCAGTGGCATGGACATCACAGAGAGTCTGATGGGGGTGCTGAAGGCTGAAGCTAGACTGACGGGTGCTAGAGAGTGAAGGTGGGTGTGAGGAAACGGAGGGAGGCTGGCTGTGAAGGGAGGAAAGGGGACCCAAGGGGAGAAGTCCACTGTGACAAGCTCTTTATTTTTGTTTTGTTTTGTTTGCAAAGAAGCAAGATCATTTTCCCAATGATCTTGGAGTGGATGCCGAAGAGAGGGAGAGATGGAATGTGTAAGAGAAGGAAGAGGGGTGGGCGGGCTCCAGACCTGGGGGTGGAGCTTGGCCTTGGGCGGGGTCACAGGAGGAGCCAGGTATGTGTGAAGGCAGGAAGGTTTGTAGATTTCATGGCTAAAAGTTGAGGTGTTTCCTACCTAATGGCTCCCATTTCCTTATCATAGGAAGGAAGGTCATCTGCTGAAGGTGGTGGGGAGTGTGGAATAGAGGTCTGAAGAGGGTGTTAAGTGTGTGAAATAGTCATCGTGAAGAGAAAGAGGGTGTTAGGAGTTGAGAAAGAGAAAATAGTTATCAGAGGTAGTGGAAAAAGACTGGAATCCAGAGTCAGTCCCTCCAGCCCTGTCTCTTACTATCTCTATAACCCCAGGAGAGTCACACAACCCTTTGAGCTTTGTTTCCTCGTTTTCAAAAGGAGGTGATGGCATGCTGCCTTGGAGAACCGTTTAAGATCAAATGAGAGAACACACATGTCAGTGAGCTGTGGAGGTAAAGCGCTCTGCCGGTGGCAATTGATAAAAACTAGACCAGTGATACTATGTGACAAGTGGCCCCAGAAGTGAATGACTCTGTGGGTCCCCAGGAAGGGGTTTGTTGGCCACTGTTGAACGGGGTGGGGGGGGGGAAGTCACCACTATGTGGCAGCAGTCTCAGGGCCCCATCACCAGAGCAGGGACTGAGCGCTGGTATCTTCTGTAAAGTAGAAGCCCTTTTTCTTCTGTATAATCACAGACCCTTCAGTGCTTTCAGAAGCTTTCATATCTGTCATTTTACTTAATCCCCCGGAGGTGGAAAATTTTATCTCATTGAATAGATAAGTAGCTGAGGGACCATGTAACTTGTTACGCTCACACCACAAATTAAATAGCAAAGTCAGGACAAGAACTTGGGCCTCATTCTTTGCTTGGTGGTGGTTCCATCAAAAATTGCCAGCGTGAGGGAGCAGAATGACACCGGGCTCACATGCTGGCACTTTGGCTTTCTGGTCTGCAACCTTAGGCAGATTCCTTGACCACCTGGTGCCTCGGGTTTTTTTCTCTGAAGCATCCAGGTCTGTCCTTTCTCCACCTTGTCTTTCTGCTGCAGGCCTGGGTTGCCAACTATGAGAGACCCCGAATGAACGCCAACTCCCTGCTGGCCAGCCCCACGGGCCTCAGCCCCTACCTGCGCTTCGGCTGCCTCTCCTGCCGCCTCTTCTACTACCGCCTGTGGGACCTGTATAAAAAGGTGAGGGGTGGCGAGGGCGGCACCCCCTGCCCTGCTTGCAGCCAAGTGGCCCAGGGCCTCCAGGCCAGTCAGTCACCCCGAAAAGAGGCCTTCCCTCTGGCTTACGTGTGCGTACAGTCCAGAGAAGGTGAGGGAGAGGCCACATCCAAGACATGGCAGAGTCCAGCACAACCCAAACTGCTGATCGAAATAAAATCCAGGTTCTCCAGTGGAGCAGGACAGGCAGAAAAGCCGACCTCAGAGTGTGGCCCTAGGGGTGGCAGGGCAGGCGGGTCGATGGGCCGAGTCCGCAGGGTGGGAGGCAGGGAGGGCGAGGCAGGAGGCAGGCCGGAAGTGAAGAGCACAGTGGGCCTCTACAGGGCTGTGCCCAGAGCATTTAAAGGAAAGCGTAGGAGTGGTGATTGCCCATCAGTGATGAGGAAATGACCCGGAGGGCTGAATGCAGGGCCGGATTCAGACTACAGGAAGCTACCCCGATGGTGAGGCACCCACCCCCAGAAGGACAGAGCGCAGCACCTCCAACTATTCAAATTCATCAGATCACCTGTGTCTACATTGTTTCACACTGCTTCCCCATCTTTGCCAATATCTGTATTTTGCGGCACAGGGTGGCTTTGCCAGTTTGGTGAGTGATCTTGTGATTTTAGGAAGATTATTATTTGCTTAGATCTCTTAATTCCCTCAGGGCCCCAGATCGAGGCTACTGGGTGTAACTTTATCTAACCAATGTCTAGACTGAGTAATTTTTATGCTTGCTGATGGGAAAACGCCCTTCAATGTTTAAGAAAGTGGAGCCAAACAGGGCCGGTTGAGGACAAGGATCATGACCAGCCTTGGGGAGCTTAGTTCCCAGTGCAGAGTCTGCAGCAATATCCCTTTCTATTGCCTGACTCTCTGCAGCCGTTCTCGTTGCTCAGAGGATTAACAGGCACAGCCAGGGCCCGGGGTTTCAGTCTGCTGGCACACTGTGGCGCTTCTAGGGCATAGTCCCTTCAAACATCTAGGGGCTTTGGAACCATCGAGTTTGTGTCAGGTTCACATTCCTCTGTGGGAGAACCCCGAGTGGCACGGCGCTGAGAGCTGGGCAGGCATTTGTACCCACGAGCTATCCCCACCCCCCAGGTGAAGCGGAACAGCACACCCCCGCTCTCCCTGTTTGGGCAACTCCTGTGGCGAGAGTTCTTCTACACGGCAGCCACCAACAACCCCAGGTTTGACCGCATGGAGGGGAACCCCATCTGCATCCAGATCCCCTGGGACCGCAACCCCGAGGCCCTGGCCAAGTGGGCCGAGGGCAAGACAGGCTTCCCTTGGATTGACGCCATCATGACCCAACTGAGGCAGGAGGGCTGGATCCACCACCTGGCCCGGCACGCCGTGGCCTGCTTCCTCACACGTGGGGACCTCTGGGTCAGCTGGGAGAGCGGGGTCCGGGTGAGTGCTCTCAGCGGGCAGCTGGCCTGTACCCTCTCATCAGCCCAGCTCAGTGCAGCCCCCTTCTGGGCTAGGGGATGGGTTGGGACCCCTGGGCCCAGGAGGTCCCCTCCAAATCCTCCTTGGCTTGCCCTCGGCAAAAGGGCTTTGGCTCTCTTTTCCACGGGGCATGTGGTGACTGGGGGAGAACCATGGCTGTAGGTCCCCGAAGAGTTGACTGTCCCACTTTCCCCACATCTAGGTATTTGATGAGCTGCTCCTGGATGCAGATTTCAGCGTGAATGCGGGCAGCTGGATGTGGCTGTCCTGCAGTGCTTTCTTCCAACAGTTCTTCCACTGCTACTGCCCAGTGGGCTTTGGCCGCCGCACGGACCCCAGTGGGGACTACATCAGGTGAGGATGCAGACCAGGCTCTCTGGATTCTGACCTCTGTGGCTTCCTCCTAGAACGAGATACGCTTGGCCCTTTGAAGGAGACTCCCAGCATGCTGATGGGTTGTCTGGTGTGTATGTTTCAGGCGATACCTGCCGAAGTTGAAAGGCTTCCCTTCTCGATACATCTACGAGCCTTGGAACGCCCCAGAGTCAGTTCAGAAGGCAGCCAAGTGCATCATTGGTGTGGACTACCCACGGCCTATGGTCAACCATGCCGAGACCAGCCGGCTCAACATTGAGCGGATGAAGCAGATCTACCAGCAGCTCTCCCGCTACCGGGGACTCTGTAAGGAGTCACTACTCCCACCACCATCCCCTGCTTCCCTAAAAGGCAGATAGCACCTGCAAGTTCAAAGGGCACAGATGGTGATTCCCAGATATTCACAGGGGGAGACCAAGTGCTGTCTTCCAGGCTGTTAAGTTGGCTTGACTCCCCAGGGCACAAGACACGCAGGCTGGGCTGGATCAGGCCTCTCTGAGTAGTTGTGGCCAGTGGGAAGAGATGGAACCTTTGTGTCATGGCCCAGTGCCCCCTGCCTTGTACTCATCTGCCCCGCAGCCCTCTGCAGTCCTGTGAGATTGCATTCTGATTACTCCCCTGCCTCTTTCCAGGTTTGCTGGCATCTGTCCCTTCCTGCGTGGAAGACCTCAGCAACCCAGTGGCAGAGCCCAGCTCGAGCCAGGCTGGGAGCATGAGCAGTGCAGGTGAGTAGCCACTGGCCTGCCATGGCCCGTGCCCATCCCGAGGACACTGCAGAGCTACCACCACGTCCATCACTGGGGGCTGAGGACAAAGGCCAGAACAAGTCTGTGCCCCAGTGGAGCTTATATTCCATCTGAGGGAGACAGATCCTAAAGGAACCATGCAAGATCATGTCAGATGACAAGTGCTTTTGGGGAAAATAAAATTGAGTGACCTCATGAAAGAGGGGCTGGAGAAGGGGGTTATTTTAGATGGAGTATCGGACCCACATAGTGAGCAGAGCCAGCCTTCCAAGAACTGGGGGAAGAGCATTCCAGGCAAAGGGAGTAGCAAGAAGAGACCCAGGGGCGGAAACAAGCTTATCCTATTCCAGCAACAAGGGGAGGGAGGCTGGTGCAGCTGGCATGTCCCGAGTGAGGAGCTGGGATGCGATGAGGACAGGTGCAGCAGGAGCGCCGTGTAGACTCAGCATCCACGAGGAGGGTTAGGATTCCGTCGTCAGAGCGCAGGGAAGGCACTGATGGGTGGTCAGCGGGTCAGAGGCATGACCTGGTTTCTGTTTTAAAAAGCTCGCTCTGCCTGCTGTGTGGAGGGACAGTATGGGCAAGAGTCCCCAATTATAGGGAGGCTAGAAAAGAGGCGGCTACATGTGTCCAGGCAGGAGATGGCAGCAAGGCCCGGGTGGTGGTAAGAGACAGGGAAGTAGACAGACTTGCTGCATTCTTAACCTCCACCTTCAGCTCTGAGATGATCAGTAAGGTCAGACTGGCAAGAACGTCACATTTTTTCTAGTTTGTCCAGCCCACAGGTGAGGGCACTGCTCATTCTGGCTTTAGGAGGCCCAGCCAGCATGGCAGAGGGAAATTTCCACCTTCAGGGCGAGGACAGCAGACAGGCTGCATCAATCTCTGGCCTTAAGCCCATGTGCTTTGGGGCCCAAAAGCTGGCTTTGCTGCCAGTGGTCCTGCCTGTGCTCTCTTTGGACATTTCCAGGCAAGGTTGATGCTGAAAAGAAGGCCTAGGGGCACGTCTGAGAAGCACTGTGCTGGTTACATTGATGAGCCAGGTTCCCTGTCCCCCAAAGAGCTGCCACTGCAGAGTTAAGGGTCATCTTGGCTCAACGCACAGTCTGTGTGACACTTTGACCCACTTTCCTACAGGTCCAAGACCACTACCTGGTGGCCCAGCATCCCCCAAACGCAAGCTGGAAGCAGCAGAGGAGCCTCCTGGTGAAGAACTCAGCAAACGGGCCAGGGTGGCAGAGTTGCCCTCCACAGAGCTGCCAGGCAGGGATGTCTGAGAGTGAGTGACAGCAGCTGAGAGCTTCAGGGAGGGAGGTGGGAGAGAGGTGGGGGTGGGTTTAGAACACTGCTGCCCTGCCAGCTCAAGGTTAAAACTCAGCAAACGAGATTACAACCTGGGGGGACTACTATAGGATTTTTTAGGATTTCAGCTCAAAAATCCTACCCTGACTTATACCTTCTAAAATTAAAAAGGGGGTTAAAGCCCTGATCTTTCTTTGCCAGCTAAGGGAAAAGAATTATTAGACTCTTTCTACCTATTAAAGTGAGCCACATCCAAAAAAAAAGCGGACGTGAAGACTGGACGAAGCTGTGGGAGAATTGGCCCAGTGGCAGGGCCTGAGCGTGCCCAAGCCCCTCTGCCGTCACCCCGATGGGCTGTGTTCTGTAGGCAGGCCAGCAGAGGGCAGCACCTACCTTCAGAAGACAGGCTTAGGGGTGTTTGGAGGCTCACTCAGCCCAGCCCCACCAAAGGACCAGGAGATCCCAGCTCCCCATCTATCTGTGCCTCTTACAGCCGCTCCTCCGTTCTCACCTTTCTTGTGGCTTTGGCTCTACACTTCCTTGTCAGTGCTCATCTTTCTTGGAAGCCCCCTGAATGTCTTTAAAAAATAAAAACTGGCTCCTTCCCCAGAGCAGGAATGGCCTTTTATGCCTTTCTGTGAGAGATGTAAATTACTGTCCCCTTTGAGTCATCATCTCAGGCTGTTCCCTATGTGCCAAGTCTGCATCATTAGATTGGAGAGTGATTTTCTCCATGGAGCTGATTGATTCTTTTTTCCAAACCCCTCCACTTCACGGCCAGGCCAGGCCATCTAGTTGGAGCATGAAGACTTAAATGCTGCGTGAGATAATGAGTGTTTGACGCTTGTGCCCTTTATCCTGCTGGACTTGTCATAGACGTTGCTGATGGACAGACTGTGTTACCTTGTTCTGAGAGTACTGGCAGCCTAGATACAACTCTCTTAGTCATCTGTTAACTCTGTGGTACTAAGTGAAGTTCATCCTGTCTTAAAAATCTGGAACTTACCAGGCTGCTACTCTGACTTTCAGGTGAGAAGACCAAAGAACAGAGAGGTTAAACATCTGGGTCAAAGTTGCTCAGTAAGCTAATGACATCCAATTCAGCATAAAACTGTTGCCAGCAAGTGTGTGAGGGAGAGGGGCATAGAACATATGAAATGTGATACGACGCCATCCACAAGGACTTAATAGTCTGCTTAGGAGAAGAAAACAAATAACTGATAATTCCTAGACAAGTGATACAGACTCTTCAAGCTTATTACAAGACAGCTCTTGGTGGGCTGGGGTGATCCTGGAGTACAACACAGAAGTTTCCCCTAGGGGGCTGGGGAGATGAATTGGATTTAGGCAGCAAGGAGGGCATTTCAGATAAGAAAAACAGCTTAATGATTGTGTAATTTTGTACTAATTATTTAACCATTATGAGACTTGGTTTCTCACCAGAAATTAGGTTCTTGTTACAAAGATTAAATAATTAAATATATATGTCAGTTAATGTGTGGGGCTGCTAGGAATAGAAAACCTGACTGCTGTGGCTAAAACAAATACAGGTTTATTTTTCTTACCGAACAAGAAAGAGATCCAGAGCTGGGTGTTGCTGGTTTTGGTTTGGTGGCTCAACAATGTCAGAGCCAGCTTTTCTGAGATTCTCTTGCTTCATGGCCTCAAGGTGGCTGCCACAGCTTCAGCCATCAGTTCCTCATTCAAAGCAGGAATGAGAAGGAATCGCAGAGACAGCTGCACTCATTCATTCATTAAACATTTATCAAGTGATCACAATTTGCCAGACATGCTGTAGACATTGAGGTATGGTTGTGAACAAGACTGACAGTCCCTTCCCTCTTGGGTGTGTCTTTGTAGGATGAGACAGACAATAAACAAATAGATACATCATGTGCCAAGAGGCCCTAAGTGTGTGAAGGAAAAATCAAATTGAGTAAGAAGATAAAAAGTAAAGGTTGGGGCACAGTGGAGTTTGCAGTTTTGTATTATGAGGGTTGTCAGGGAATGCCTCTCTTCTGTTTATCAAGAATATTAAAGCTTTCCCAGGATACCCCTCCCCAGCTTTTTACATTGGCCTCATGACCCAAAATTTAGTCCCAGAGCCACCCCCCAGCTGGGAAATAGGGATGTGGATTGTCAGGATTGGTTGGACCGTTGATTTTCCAGCTTGAATGAGCAATAGAACCCCCTAGAGAATTTGGTAAGCCACAGGTGGCTGGGCCCCAGCCCTAGAGTTTCTGACCTGGTGGGTCTGGGGTGGGATCCGAGCGTTTGCACTTCGAACAAGTTCCCAGCAGTTCATGACGCTGCTGTTCTGGGACTGTATTTTGAGAATCACAGACTTAGACCACTCGTGATCCATTGTCTGGGCTGGGCCCATGACCCACTGAACAAATCCAGGTTCTGTTAGCTAGGAAGCTGAACACTGGCCAGTAGCTAACAGTGTCCACATAATATACCAGACACTTAGCCAGGCCCTGCCTCATAAGTTCATAAGTGAAGTGGCAGCTATCACTATTATTACGAATATTGTTATCATTATTATTTCAGAAGAACATAAGGTTACAGTTGGGTCTGATCATGTAGGGTTTTAGATATCAGGCAGGTGAGTCCTTGGAGTTCTCTCTGAGAGCCTAGGAGCGTTTCGGAGCAGGAGAGCGAATGATCAAACTGGCAGTTTGGGAAGATTCACCAGGCGTGGGCTGGGCCCTGCAGAGGACATGGTGGTGGGGAGGCAGCCAGCTGAGAGGCTGCAGCGGTAATTCCAAGTGGACACTTCAGGGTGCAGTGGTCGGCGCCTGTCTCTTGTTTTGTGGTCCAGGAGATGTCTGGTCAGCCTACAGCGATATCAAGGACTGATTCTCAGAATTTAGCCCTTAATCGTGGCTAATTGGTTGGAGGTGGGGGCCAGGAGAGGACAGGACAGACATCTGTGTTCTTGGGAAACTGAGAGAGAGGAGTGCACTTCTGTTTCCCCGTGTGTTGGCCGTCGCACCTGGGCCTGAAGATGTTCAGCGTCCTCATCAGTAACACGGTGGAGACAGCACCTTGTCCCCTGCCCCACCCATCCAGCATACACACTTGGGAAAGAAACGGAAAATCCTTATGTGAAAAGCCTTTGAATAAGTAAAACGCACCACGCAGATGAACTCACATTACCATCTTGCACATGCTTCCGAGGGAGTCTTTGGTTGTGTTATGGTTACTCCAGTCAGAGCCAGCACACTGGGCCAGCTGGACCACAGAGCAGTGGCCCCAGGGCCTGAATTGACAGTCTTACTGCGCCTTCTCCCTTCTCCTCTCTTTCAGTTTTAGTTGTGTGACTTGGGCAGGATTCATAACCTTTCTGAGATGCTTTAGCTGTCAGGTGTGCATAGTCATTCTTTACCAGCCTGAAGGCTCATCCTGGACCCACTGAGGCTCTGTTTAGCTCCAACCTCTGTAGTTTTGTGATTCTGTTATTTCTAATGCCTCAGGTCTGGACAATGATTTAAACTGATCTTGTGGGAAAACACACCCTGATATCAGTAGCTTCCATGCTTACTGCAAACCCACGTCAGTATCTATTCTGCATTTGGCTTTATCGTACAGTGTTCACTAAACTGAAAAATAAGCCAGCCCCAAATAGCTGTCGGTTCAGATGCTTCCCATAATCCCCAAAGCTGCTGACTGCCGAGGATTCCATCAGCCTCGAATTGTGTACAGATTCATCTTATTGGTCCGATTATTTTACCACGAGGGGAACAGTTCACGTGATCCATTTGCTGTTCTGCTGGTACAGAGTGATCTGTTGAGAGAAGCCCGCTGAATACAAAGGGTTTCTGGCCAAGGATCATCTCTTCCCCTCCCCCTCCCAAAGCGCACCAGAGCTGGGGGCCTCCCTGAGGAAAACCTGACTTCTGGAAGCTGTTCGTTGCCTTTTTGACGTTTGTTACCCCTCCTTACGTGAAACAGCGCTTGTGAAAGGCTCCGGTCAACCTGTAAAATGCTGCCCAGAGTGGAGGCCGTGTGGTCCCTGCCTGGGAGCAAGTTTTCCTCACCTCTCTGGCTCTCAGTTCCTGACCTGGGAATGAGAAGTTGGGACTCAGTACCCCCTTGCACCTTCCCTGGCACTTACTGAGTGGCTGTTGACTGACAGACGTCCCCTCCCCTTGGCTATAGGGTTTGTGTGGTGCAGGAAGGGCAAGTGTGTGAGGAATGAGACAGAGCTAAGAGCCCAGCTGGGGTACACAGCGGAACCTCTGGCCTTCCCTGCTCCTAACTTGGAAGCGCATAGCAAACCCTCTGCCCCTCCCAAGCACTTGGGCACAGTGCTTCACCCAGTGTGGTGGGGAGGGGTGACCCCTGAGACCTGCTTACAGCCTCCAAACAAAGTTTCTTTCAGACCTTGAGCCGTAGTGGACTCTGCTGACATAGGCGCTTGTGTACATGTTATCCACACACCCACCTGGGCTCGGGCCGGGGAAGGGTGGACTTGCAGATTTGGGTTTCTTGTTAGCACCCGGTGGACGGGAAGGGGTGTGAGGGCACAGGTACCCAGGGGGTCATCCTAACTGACACTGGCACACTGAGAGAGGCAGTCATTAACTTATTCTATGTTCCAGCCACTGCTGTGTCTTGTATTAATGACGGATTGAAAGAGTTGGACAATCATGAGACTGATTTTTTTGGCGCATGTTTTATGAGTTGATTTTTTTCCCCTTGTGCCTCTCGCCTAGCTGTTCTTCCCTTTCTTTTAGTGCTGCTGTCATCATTTTCCTGCAAGGCCTCATTTGATTTCCCCAGCCCCTCTTTCCTGCAGACTTATGCCCTAGCTTGAGAACAAGAGCACAGGGACCAGCTAATTGTCTGCTGATCAAGCAGCTTGAATAACTAGTTATTCAAGCCTTTGACTAGCTTTGTAGACAAGGACAAACTCATTCTTCCAAACCTTGGTTTTCTGTGTGTGTGTGTTTCTGATCCCAACATAGGGGGATGTGGGTCACTGGGGTTTATCTGAGGCCAGGAGGCAGCCACCTCGCTTTATGGTCTGCCTCATAGCTAACCCATGCCCAAGTCAGAGTAGGTCTGAATGAATTGTTATTATAACCACCTGACTGTACCTCACCCCCTTATCTTCTAAGCTTAGGCATCAGTTCTTAAACCCTCTGGGTGACCCATGCTTTGAAGAATCTGATGAAAGATGGAGCCTCTCCCTGGAAAATTGCACCCATTCACACACACAGAAAAATGTACACAGAATTTCAAGGTCTTCATGGACTGGCCCTTAAGCCCACCCTTGGACCCCTTAGAGATCCAAGAACCCCAGAGTGAGAGCCCTTGTCCTAAGGAATCTTCAAGTACTCTTTATCTTCCTCTATCCTGTTAGGTGGAGAGGACACAAGAAACAGAGGTAGCGCATAGGAGGACTGGTGTGTCTACTCTGCAGTCCTGAAATTCTCAGTCTCAGAAGAATCATCATCTCTTTGACTTAACAACAGTGGTCAGAGGGAGACCTATGTATAAAATATATATCCCAGTCAGCATGTTTCAATAAACATGTATATACTTTAGTGGCAGATATAATTATTTGAAGTGAAAAGTATGGCTAGGCTAGGTTATTATAGTACAGACTTAAAGGGAAAACTTGTTGAAGATATTTTAAAGAAGAAGGCACTCAGTACTGAGCCATGCAGGGACGCACTTCTGTTTGCTCTTGATTTTTCCCAGCTTCTAGGTGAACTGTCATCACCCAGATAAAATCTTCAGATTTAACATTTGTCTGAAAAGGTCTGCATGTGTCAGAAGACTGATTTTTTAATCCCTGACTCCAATGCCTTTGACCCTTGAGAGCATTTTCCCTTTTCCGTTAACATCTGGACTTCATTTATGTTGCTTGCATATTAGTCTTCATGCCACCGTGTTGAATTCCTTCTTTTTATATCCTCTAAAAGTTATCATGAGCAGTAGTACTATAATATAGAGATTACCTAGTGGTAAAAACACAGGTTTTGGAATCAGACAGACCTGGCTTTCCTGCCACTTCTGAATGTGGTAGTCATGGGCAACTTCCTTATCCTCTCTGGCTTCTGTTTTCTCATCTGTAAGAACAGAGGCCATATCTTCAGGGTCAGTGGGATCACAGCTATGTTAGTTTGTTTGGCCTCCCATAACAAAGTGCCACAGACCAGGTGGCAGGCAGCAGAAATTCTCCCACAGTCCTGCGAGCTAGAAGTCTGAGACAACTCGATGACAGGGCTGCTTTCTCCCGAGGCCTCTCTCCTTGGCTTGTAGATGGCCACCATCCCCCATCGTCTTCACTCCGTCTCACCTCTGTGTGAGTCTGTGTCCTCATTGCTCTCATGAGGACACCAGTCTTATGGGATCAGAGCCCACCCTAAACACCTCATTTTAACTTAACTACCTCTTTAAAGATCTTATCTCCAGAAACAGTCACATTCTGAGGGGACACAATTCAGCCATATCACAAGTGTACAGTGCTTGACCCGTAAGCTCAGTAATCCTTCTGGTTATCATTTGCCTCACCATCCTTTAAACCGTCCAAAGTTTTAACTGAACCCTGCGTGTCTCTTTACGCTCTCAGACGCACTAGAACTATTCAAACAGGCAACCCAGTGTTATGATGAAGCCACGTCTTCCCTCTGCCCCAGATTCAGAATGTTCTAAATCTTTAAGATGAGTCATCCTTGTGTCCCCCTCCAGCCCTCCGTCTTCTAGCACAGTGCCAGGGTTCTTTTATCTCTATGTGGAAATTTGCTCACCGGCTGATTCTAAACTCAGTCATTGCCTTCATCTTCCAAAATTACTGGTCCTGGCTGGCTTCTCATCCAACCCATTTTTTTCTGATTCTCCATCTCTGGCAGCAGCCGCTGTGCCTTGATTCAGAAACTGCCTTTGTGTCACATCTGACCAAGTGTTACCCAAGGCCTCAGGTGAGTGTCTGTGGCCTTCTCCCCCTCCTCCCCTGCTGCCCTCAGGCCCGGGGCAGAGGAGGAGCAGAGGGTCCACAGGGGAGAGCTTGTCCTGCATCAGCACCTCAGAAGCCAGTGTTCAGGCACCCGCTGACATCCCAGTAACGACCTTGTCCCCAGGTACCTTGGCCTGTTCGGTTCACTCTATGCTCTTCCCAGTTCCCCAGAGAAGCAGCTAGAGGAGCCATGTCCCTGGGCAACTGAGCGCCTCCTGAGTGTTCCTTCTTGCCCTTGTTTTTCCCTTTCAGCTGCAGCGCTGTGGCTCCGTGAGCAAAGCCTGGGTGCCCGAGCAGCCACCGTGGCAGCAGAGTGCAACCTGCAGAACAGCTGATCACCTACAGAGATGGAGCGAACATGTGTGCATGTGTGTGCGCGTGTGCAGAGGAAGGAGTGGGGGCCTGTTTGCGTGTGCATGCATCTGTGTACACTCGTGTGGTTCTGAATGCTGCCTGGGCTCGAGGAGCACCTGTAGCAGCTTCACCTCAGCCTCCGGACACCAGGCTGGAGGTCATGGCAGTGGCTTTCATCCCAGACCTGTCCCTGTGAGCCAGCTGCCTTGTCTGAGTAGAAGCGTGGTAGGACCTTAGCTGGGTTTCTGGCATCTGTCCCCCGACCCCAGCACTTCCTCCCTCCCTCCTCACATCAGACTGAGGAGCAGGGCGGGGAATCATTTCAGGCTCTGGCCCAGAGCATGCGATTTTAGAGGCACCTGGGGTCCTGCTGAGTTCCTACTTTATGACCCTGGAGGCTGGGCAGGCTGGAGCGGATGGGTGCAGTCCAGACATCATCACCTGGCCTGGCTTCTTTCTTATTTTAAAATTCTCTGCCACTGGGTTCTTCAGACTCTTCCTTGGGCGGCTGGGACTGAGCGCGAGGATGTAGACAGATCTGCAAATTCTGCCATCGTATAGAAGTACACCCAAGCACCTGACTGGAGTGCTGTATGCACAGTACAATGGAAAATAGCCTAAGAACATCTCCCTTTTCGCAGCTGAAAACCTGAGGTTAGGAACAGAATCCTAGTCTCACTGGTTCCTTCCCCAGAAGCTGAGAGCCAGCCTCAGAGCTCACTGTGGAGACTCAGTGCCACTGCCAGGAAGAGGCCAGGTTCCTGGTGGTAGAAAGCCCCCTGGTTCCTCTGGCCACATTTTGTGGCACCTCAGAGCTACCACCAAGGTCAGCTGATGCCCAGCCAGGGAAGCCATTCTGGTCTGCACTCTAGAGGCCTCCAGGGCCTGCCCGGGGCTGACCAGCATCCAAACTGCCGTGTCAGCTCTCCCAGTAGGTGGACATTAAAGACCTAGGCCGGTGGATTGCCAGGGACAATTGGAAAAGGTCCGGCCGAGATCCCACCCCGCACGCCAACCCTTCTAGAAGCAGCAGGTGGGAGGTTTGACCCAGAGGAGCCAAGGCCTTGCATTCCAGAAGCAGCCTGTGCCTCCCACCTCAAACCTCCCGCTGTCGGAGGTCTGTGCTGAGAAGGACACAATGAAAAGAAGGATGATGTGGTCAGCTGGAGCAAGTCTTCCTTCCATCCCATGGCCTGCACTTGAGCCACAGTGTGTGTATGTGTGTGCGTGTGTGTGCGCACCTGCAGGTGTATATGTTGCTAAAAGGTCAATGCCTCTTTGGATTTTTGTCCTCACGCGTAATATTGAGCTGGCCCCTGGGCCTTCTCCTCTCTACCTCCCCTGTGACCTTTCCTGGCCTCATAGCTGTTACTTCCCTTGGCCCCAGCCCTGCCCTCCACTGTCCTCTGTCCCAGGACCAGAACCCTGGGGTCAGGCTCCTGTCTCCCACATCTGTCCAGCACATCAACAGGCTTCTTCCTGAGATGTCCTCAGGCTTTCTCAGCCAGAGAGCTGCCTTTAGAGTCCAACTCTTGTATGTATGTCACCCTCACTAGAAATGTTCCGTAGTCATGTAGGGGGAGCAGGGCACGCAATGGTTTGTATTCGCAGCATTGGGTTGGGGGACTCACTGTTCCCTGAGCCCCAGCCAGGAGGAAAGAGAATCAGGACTGTTGCCAGGAGAGTAGGGCAGGCCTGGAAGGGCTGGTCTGAGAAACCAAGAAGACTGAGGGGTTAGGGCCAGAGCCAGTATTTATTTAGCAGCACCTTCAAATGTTAGGATGATTCCCTTTTCCTACCTGTTTGACGATGGCTCTCCCTAAGGTCCAAGTTGGCAGGACCACCTCCCCCTACTTCACCATCCCTAGCATGCTGGCCCATTCCCAGTAGAACGAAGCAGTCCACTCAGAGCTGGGAGGGGTGGGGTGACAAGAGGGTGCATCCAGTGTCCTGGAGCTCCACTGTGGCTTCATGCCTCCCCTCTCCTGGCCCAGGTGTCCCTGGGACCTGCTGCAGCAGAGCATTGCCCCAAATCCTGATCCAAGGGCCAGCATGGGGAGGAGATGGGTGCAGGCCAAATGCACTTTATTCAGAGATTTTCTGTTGCTGGGAAGGTGTGTTTCTCCCACAGTTTGTGAATATTCACGTGTTTCATAAAGGTCTGATCCTGTCTGAGCAAAGCTGTGATGTCAATTTTGTGGGGGTCTGGGGATTGGGAGGCAGTAGGGCTCAGCCTGAGTGAAGCATTAGGCCAGACTGTCTTAATTCTGCTGGAACCTGGAGGCTCTCACCCTCCTTGGAGGTGGCAGGGAGGAGGGGACAGGAGATGGAGGAATGGGAAGGCTCCCAGTTGAGCAACTGGAACAGACTAGTGGCTCCTCCAGAGCTTGGGCAGAGTTGAGGGTCAGTTGGCCAGAATGGTACAGAGCACGCCAGCCCTGGGATGAGGTTCCTGAGTGCTGTCCTGTAGGGACCCAGTCTCTTGGCCCACTTAAACCCCCAAGCAGTCGGCAGGGCCCTCTCCAGGCCCTCGATCCGTTATTTACCTCAACTCAGCCACATAAGCCGCAGCTGCTTGGTGCAAAGGGGATGCAAGCCCTCTGGTTTTGGCTACATGGTCAGATCTGCCCACAGCCAAGCCCAGAGCCTGGATGCTGACTTTGTCTCATGCCATCTGGCCAGTGTGGCCCCCCTCTGTGGTGTGCATAGGCTTTCCTGTGAGTTTTATAGTCTTGGGCCACTGGATGTGAAATCTGTTAGCCCACACCCCAAATTCCTGTGGGAAGGGGTTCAGGCCAGGCCAAGAATATCACAAGCTGCCTTGCACAGAGAAAGGGGGAAAGGAAGAACTTGACCCTGGGACTCATCTCATTCTCAGCTGTACTTTGAAGCTCCTGATGGCCCCCTTCTCACTGAGACCTGGACCTGGCCTTCCCTCTCTCCCTTCTGGCTTCTTTCTAATGTGGCTTTGGCTTGGCCTGGGGAGCTAAGATAACCTTTGTTCTTGAGCAAAATATGCTAGAAGATAGAGTTGTCCTCCACACATACATGCTCCTAACCAGAGAATGCTCCCTGGTAGAGACAAGCATACACTCTAAGGAACAATAACAATTATTAGGCACTGTGGCAAACTGCTTTCCTGGGAGGAAAAGCCAGCACCATAGCAGCAGGTGGGTCTTGACAAAGGAGCCTGAGCCAAGACAGGAAAGATAACAGTGTCCCCTCTGGGCCCAAGGACAGGGAGAAGAGAGCCAGCCAAGGTCTTTGGCTCTGGATATTGGGATGTTTGGGGGACTGGAGCTTGGGAGTTGTTTACTGCAGGGCTGGTGCCTACAGCTCCTTTCTGGATGCCACATTGAACGGAAAGGAGGTGGAACAACCAGTGGGCAGTCTAGATTTGCAAATAGGATTCCACAAGCTGTAAATGAGTTTGCTGCTTCTTCAGAAGGAAAGGACTTCTGTGGTTCTCTCAGATGGTCAGACAAGCCAGTAAGACTTGGCCAGAGGCTCTATGACCCACCACAGCTGGGAGCCTAGCCATAGCCAGCACCCTGAGTGTCAAGAAGTTCATGCTCAGTGAAAGAACTCATAAGCTTAGCCCTCTTAGGGGAGAGAAGACCAGGAGGAACCATGGCCCAAACTTAGCAGGGGCAGAGGTGCTGGGGGAAGCATAAAAACAAAAAGAATCCCAAGATGTCAACTGTGGGAACAAAAGGCCTCAAGTCTTAGAATGTAAGAATCCAGCTGTGGGGTGTCTGGGTACAAAAGAGGGGATGCTCTACAGAAAATGCAGTTGAGGTGCTAAGTGAGAAGGAGAAATCTGGGACAGACCTGACATGAATGAGGAGAAATGGAGAAGCCAAAATGAAGGGTTCACCTCAAAGTGTCTGGGACTGAAAGGGAGCTTGAATCAATCCTTAGAGAGGAGACTTTATGGGGAGAATCCTTGGGAGGGAGGGTCCCCTCAAGGTAAGGGGACAGGATGGGGTGAAACCTGGATCCTGGGAGGTGGGGGTATTCCCGGCCTCCAGTGACAACACATTTGTATTACATTTCATCCTCACAACCATGAGAGGGACCATTATTGTCCTCATTTCACACATGAGAAAAATCAAATCTTAGGACTATTGTCACTAATGCAAAGCCACACCACTTATTCATTTGGAGAGCCAGGATGTGACTTCACACCACCTGATTCCAAATCTGCTCTAGGAGCCAACTCCCAACACCCATTAGCCTTTCTCTGCACTTCCTCCACGACCCTCCTTTCCTGACTTCCTTCTTTGTCTGCAGTGAGGGGGTCAACTAAGGACCTGGGAACCAGGGTCCTGCCATTAGTAACCCGATTCCCAGACCCTAGGCCCACCCCGAGGGGCAGGGCCCGCATGGGCACGGAGGGCTTTGCAGGAGGACAAACTGTACAGAGGAGTCAGTGTGGGATTTAGGGCGGGGCCGCCGGGCCGCGACTTCAGCACCTTGGAGAGCGCGGGAGGGGCGGGGCTCGCGGGCCCGGAGGCGGGACGGGGGGCGGGGCGACGACGGAGACCCCGGGCAAGGAGCCCGGGGGCGCGCGCGGTGGCGCTAGCGCCAGTCCCGAGAGCGGTGCGCGGT